TCTCAAAGACAGCCCTCTCTTTAAAATGTAAATACCAAGAAAGATAGTGCTCCTTTCTCCCAGTCTCTCTGAGAGTTTAACTTGGGCCTTTGGCTCTAATCTACCAGTCACAGAGATCTGAAAAGTGTTATTATTCTTCGGGATAACAGCAGTTAGCAAACACAGACGGTCACTCCAATTACCAAGTGAATCTAGGATGAACTATGTTTGACATATGGTGCTGTCACACCTCTTACCTAAGGACTAGTTATCGTTTATCTTGAGAACATGAATATAATAGGTTGCATCTGCCTGGCTTTTTGAAAGGGTGAGAGTTCTTCTGTCTTTATATTCACTTTAGCCGACTGCCTGTGATCCACATCACATGCTGGTTAAATGCTTATTCAATAATAAAACCGCTTTGTCTTCTACTTTTATGAAGATTTTGGGGGGCTGGTGGAAGATTTTTTCAACTTTATTTCTCCAAGAGTACCAATCACCAGCCAGACTGACCAAATGAAAGGTAGTGAACTCACATCCCAGAAGGTGTTTACCATTGGTGAAAACAGGGTGAAGCTGCTCGAGCATTTTATCAGGGCCGTGCACTGGGAGGGCCCTGCACAGCTGAGTTGGGGGTAAGAATACCCAGCCCCGAAAAACCAGTCTTTTGCACTTGTAGTTTACTTCTGCCCTGTCTCCCCTGACTCCTCCCCGCTGGTCTCAGCATTTCTTTAAAAACTCTAACACATCAGCAATGGAAAGCTCAGGACACTCTCAGACCCAGACCCATAGAGCGGCATATATGCAGCCTGAGGAACTCAGTGAAGGCAAATTTATAAACATAATTGAGGAAAGTAGTTGTGATGAAAAGGATGAGATGTCCCAGAGGGAGTGACGCCAGCAAAAACCTCACATTAAATAAACTCTTGGAGATATTTCTCAACATTGAAAGAGGAAAGGATGAGATTTTGAAAACTGATTCAAACATAGAAAAGAATATGTCAAACAGAACAGATGCTTTCTCCATGTCATAAGTTTTATGATGAGAAGGCAAGCACTGTTCAAACTAGTCTTTGTAAGTTTTTTATAATGAAATAAAATACTTGAATTTCGAATGTTTTAAATTACAGTGTACAATGACTATTAGTTTTACTATTTTTTTCACTTCCCAATACATTAATAACCAAAAATAAGAACGAGTTAAAATATTGAATGTTTTGATAAAAAATTTTTAAAAAATCACAGAATAATCATAATCATTCCCATTGATTTTTAAGTATGCTTTTCATGGTGTTAGCTTGCACGGTCTTACACTATCATGCAAAGGGCTTCCTATATTTCTTATTCCTCATTAAACAAGTTAATATAAGTGCCTAAAACAGTGACTGTCACATGGTAAGTGCTCAATAAATGTCACCTATTATTTCAAAGACATTACACAGTTTTTCACCGTTAATGCAAAACCTTTCTTTAATGTCTATACTTCCTGCTCCTATTTCTCTCCTTCCATTCTTTCTTGAAACTATTCCAAGTAAGGCTTTTGTCCACAATCCTGCACCAAACTTGCTCACCACAAAGTTAAATCCAATGGTAGCTGTAAATCTTAATGTACTTGGCTGCCCACAGCATTTAATTTAATTAATCACAAAGGACCTTGGTTTCTTGGTTTTTCTTTTCTTTTTTTTATCAGTAAAAGACTTTATTTATTTATTTGTTTGTTTGTTTGTTTTTGTTTTTTCGTAACATTGGTTAACGAAATCCAGAAAGTTTCAGGTGTACAACACCCCGGAATCAAAAGTCCAGGACCATGGTTTCTAAAGACCACACTATTGGTTTCCCTGTATCCTACAGGTTGATCCTTTTCAATTTCCTTTGCTAGTTACTCCTCTCTCTGATGTCCAAATGTTGGAGTGCCCCAGGGCAAAGTCTCCGGATCTCTTTTGAACTCTCCCTCCATG